TTTTCCCAATTTATCTTTATCGTATTGTCCTTCTTTTAAATTTGCACATTTGTCCCTGTTTAAACATTATACAAAGAACTGCCCAAGTTGTGGCAGTAACTGTGGTACTCGGAGGTGAGAGCCTCAACTCCCTCGCGGTCATTCTTACACTCGTCCCACTCCTCTGTGACCTTTGACCTCAGAATGAAGTCAACTGTTCCGTCAGTGCCTTACGGTACATCAGTCTCACTGGTCACCGTTTTTATATAACCGATATAATGAAATACTTGAAGCGCGCCTCGGTCTGGGGCCGTGTTTATGGTCCATTATCTGCCGCCCAGCTTAAACACCGTTGGCTCTCCCACTAACTGGATTGGTGACCATACCACGTCAGAATATATATATATATATATATATATATATATATATATATATATATATATATATATATATATATATATATATATATAATATATATATATATAATAGGGTATGAGGGTACCACCTCTGGTGCAATTGTAGGGACTCATAGCCTCGGAGAAGAAAATAAAGGTCTTCAGAGAAGACCTTGTGGATTCTCACTGAACATACACACACACACACACACATACATACACACACACACACACACACACACACACACACACACACACACACACACACACACACACACACACACACACACACACTATAATATATATATATATATATATATATATATATATATATATATATATATATATATATATATATATATATATATATATTATACCATGTTTAACTGTGACGAATATGTCCGTAAATCGCCTAACGAATTTACATGGGTTAATCACTTAACGAATTACCGGTCAAAGACTTTACAAAGTTTGAATTTAATGCGTCTGTTGTTTCTGGTAAAGAAATATGTTGAGAGTTTATTACTATAGTATTATTGTTCATATTGAATAGCCTCAGTTTCCTCCTTAATAACCCCAAAGTCCGTTTTCAAAACATCTTTCTGGGATTTTAAGAGAATGCCAATATACGTCAACTTTCTGAAGGTAAAGAACAATATTAATTTTGGGGTTTCACCTCTCCGATTGAACACATTTCTGTGTCTTTGTTGAACCCCTGAAGTAACTTTTGATTCAATATGTTCGGGCACATAGTCAATATGCAACTTTCCCAGCTTACGTGAAGGGTTACATAGTTTACGTTAAAAGCTGTGATATAGACTGCCCTAGACTATATGAGGGTCATGTGACCCGTAGCCTGCACTAGGGAACTTTGGATACCCTATGGTAGTGTATACCATACCATACACTATGGTATGGTCTTGACTTATATAGTCTAGAACACAGGAATGGTTGAAGTGATTGCCCAGCTGTGTGTGCATACCTCGTACCGGTGGGTCTGAAGGATCAGATGCCTAGACATTTAGTGATGTAGTGTGCGAGATGATGACCCCTCCTCCTCCTTCTTCTCACAGTCCACACGAGGAGTGCTCATGGGTACCAGATTCATCACTTCCCCTCTTGTTTTTCGTTTTTATTGACACATTTAGGCACATGTGCATTTGTACAGCTGCCCTGGACTATATGGAGGGGCGTACAGCGTGTCAAGAATTAGTTGCGTGATGCTAAAAGTCCCCATCACATAGGATGGTTAGTCATACAGAGGCGTGTGATCAGTAGGCTGGATGCATTATCACTTGACGGGATTATCGTGCAACTCTACGGACTCCGCCCGCCACGTTCAACTTGCTTTACTCGCTCGCACTTGTATTATATAATGAAATAATATAACGTGCTTTATCGCGTCATGGGGTTAAAATAAATTAATTTTAAATAAATGGATCACACCAATCTAATTATTTTTACTGTTTTACAAGAACAAAAACTTCAGTCTGAAACATACGTTATCCTAACATATTAGAGTTGAATAGAGATTCGAAATTTCGTATGGTAATTAGTGAATGCGAGAGATAAATAGAGAAGAAGGGAAGAGCGTGGTAGTACGTAGGCGAAATTGAAATGTCTGATGGAATCGGTTCTAGAAATTCCCAGCACTTCCCAATGATCCAACAGCATTAGCATACCTTAATTGCTCACTAATTACTACTTGCCACAAGACTGATAAACGTCCTCCAGGATCTACATACACCTTCCAAGAGATCCGCTTTTAATTGAATTTGCCTGCAGTTGTTTCCCTAAATGTTAGAAGAAAAACTTGTACAGAGATTTGTTAGTTGTTTTTGTTGGCAAAAACACCTGTTTATTACCAGGTAAGTTGGTGTAGTATGTTTGTATGTGTGAGTTTGTATGTGTGTGTGTTTTGGCTCTCTCAAGTGTCATGTGTATGTGTCGTGGCTCCAGCAAGTGTATCCTGAGGAACAGACAGACGTGTACTCCTCGGTGTGTCCTTAAACCCACACCTCATGATGTGTAGAGTTGGTTTGTTATTATTAATCCATACCAGTTTCCTCTCTCTCTCTCTCTCTCTCTCTCTCTCTCTCTCTCTCTCTCTCTCTCTCTCTCTCTCTCTCTCTCTCTCTCTCTCTCTCTCTCTCTCTCCCCCTCCGTTCTCTCCCCTTCTCGACCCCTTGTTGATCTCATGAACGAACCCCTTTATGTCTGTTCACTCTCTTGTCTCCCCTCTGTTATTATTATATGCTGCATATATATATATATATATATATATATATATATATATATATATATATATGTATAATGTAGAGTTTTCACCCTTTATTTAGTCAGAGTTTGAAATGTGTAGAGAAACGTTTACCTTAAATTGTATACTATCTTGTTCTAACCTTTTAATAGTTTATATACTTTAAAAGTATTATGATAAAATTTAGTCTAATAATTAATTCAAACATTTTCTTTTTTGACTAAGGCTCCACTCAAGATGCAAATTTGTCCTTTAAAGTACGGTCTCTTGAACTTGACTTGTACTCTTTAAAACACCTTCAAATAATTGTGTTTGTGTTCTAATTAAAGAATTAACTTTTAATATTATTTACTTGTTTTTTTTCAGATTCTGATTTTGTACATCACTCTTACTTTGAAATGTTTCCAGTGAAAGTATTATTAAGCTGTATATTTTCTGTTGTTTTTTTGCTGCTGATTTTATTATTATTATTATTATTATTATTATTATTATTATTATTATTATTATTACCTGTGTTTATGTGCAGGATTAGTCTAATTATTTGTTTATTTAAATAAAGATATTTAGTGGTTTAAACAACATTTATTTACATATTGCAATAACTAATGCTATTGATAGTTGCCATTAGGGACTAACAATATAGCCACTTAGCCGTGTTAACTATCATTATCTAGTCTTCTAACTGACCTTTTATGCAGCCTTAGCAACTTTATTACCATGGGTATCAAGTACTGTCTTTTTTAGGTTGCCATTAGTTACTAATAGTTAGCATGGTAACCATTAGCATAGTAAGCATTGTCTTAACCACCACTGTCATCATGACAACATTCTGACATTAGATATCACCATGGCAGCAGCTATCATTCATCCCATTATCATTCATCATCTTCAATAGATACTGTCTTCAGGCCTTTGCTTACCATTAATGTTCCCCATTGACTGGCACGCACACACACACACACACACACACACACACACACACACACACACACACACACACACACACACACACACACACACACGCACACACACTCACACGCACGCGCACATACATACACACACACGCACGCTGGCACACACACGCGCGCACATACACTCAGGCTACGTGTACTATCTTCTTAATCATATCAAGTCATACAAGTTATCATATCTAAATACCTCATTAATTAGACCCTGAGTTAGGATGATTAGTTAATCAATTATTTCTGTGGGATAATCACTAGATTCTTATAGGATTGATAGGTTATAGCAGTGCTAATGGCAAGATTCTTACAGGGATAATAGATTATAGTACTGCGTAAATTATTATACAAATTGCAGTGAAATTCTGCAAGAAAAAGCAAGATCAGCCCCTTATGCATTTTCTATTATGATATTTTGATTTTCAAAGTAACTTTTATTTTTTTATTGCATTCTGTGGTGGTAAAATGATAGTTGTAGCAACTATTTTTGGCTTTATCATTGCAGGATGTTATTAAGTTTTGAGATTATAAATAATTACCGTTAAAGTAACTTTGCAGTTATAATGTAGTCATGGTTGCAGAATAATAATTGCAGTTTATAGATAAATATTAAACTATATATATCGGTACTATGCTAGTTATTAAGTGGCTGCAAGGTAGCATAAATAGTTTTTATGTGAGAATAATATTACTTCTGTTATTTATTGTATAGCAATTAAAATGTGGCGTAGAAAAATAAAAGGTTAATATTGTATTGTCTTTATGTGAATCATAAATTATTTGCTCTCTAGGGATAGCATATATATTTCCCTCTTTATAATATAGTATTTTCTGCCTTCCTAAGATGTACTAGCTCCTTGGTATGATGTAATATTTACATGTTCTCTTAATATGGCACCAAAGACGACATCTATCACGAAAAAGACGGCCAGCACCACCGACAACCACATTCCTCACAACATGAACAAGAGAGACATCATTCGTGCCACTGACTTCAATTACCTCATGGTGCTAGGCAAGGGGTCCTTTGGTAAGGTGCTCCTGGCAGAGAGGAGGGTAAGTACACTTAATCCTGTTGCATGTGTGAGGCTGTGTGTATGTTAAGTTGATATGTGGGGCTGTGTGTATGTTAAGTTGATGTGTGGGGCTGTGAGTATGTTAAGTTGATGTGTGGGGCTGTGTGTATGTTAAATTGACATGTGAGGCTGTGTGTATGTTAAGTTGACATGTGGGGCTGTGTATGTTAAGTTGATGTGTGGGGTTGTGTGTATGTTAAGTTGATGTGTGGAGCTGTGTGTATGTTAAGTTGATGTGTGGGGCTGTGTGTATGTTAAGTTGATGTGTGGGGCTGTGTGTATATTAAGTTGATGTGTGGGGCTGTGTGTAAGTTAAGTTGACATGTGAGGCTGTGTGTATATTAAGTTGATGTGTGGGGCTGTGTGTAAGTTAAGTTGACATGTGAGGCTGTGTGTATATTAAGTTGATGTGTGGGACTGTGTGTATGTTAAATTGACGTGTGGGACTGTAATATAAAGCGAACCTTACTAAAGTACAATAAAGGGCAGTTGGTCTCGTACCAGCGCTTCGAGCATCATGGTACAGTAATTGATAAGGTCGGTAAAAATTAAAATGGTGATTATAGTGCAGGGTAGAACAAGTGGAAAATGAATGGAAATATGTGTCACATAAGAGTCACAGGGCTGTTATGAAAAACATTTTTATCATGAGGTTAGTGAGCAAATGGTGTATAGCTCTCTGGATATGACAACAAATACGGGAGCTGCTGCATTAGACAGTAAGTAAGGACTCAAGAGCTAGGAACCGATCATACAAACATGTATAATCAAATGAGCACAGAATTTCAGGTTTCAAAATACGAAAAATACGGAAATTCCGTAACAGGAACCATTATTTTTTGTTACAAATTAATTGGCAGAACATTTAATTAAACGTGCAGCGTATTTGGTGCGTGTGTGTGTGTGGTGGTGGGCTCGTCCTGGTGATGCAACATCAGTGTTGTGAGTGGTGGTGGGCTCGTCCTGGTGATGCAACATCAGTGTTGTGTGTGGTGGTGGGCTCGTCCTGGTGATGCAACATCAGTGTTGCAGCTGGTGATACAAACTAAACAACCACTAAAATGAAGTAGATAATTGTGAGCCAGTTATTTTGTTATTATAATTATTATTGTTGCTTATTGTCAGTTGTTGCTTCAACCTTGTCTTAATAGAACCTCAACATTGTTTTTGTTTTGTTAATACTAGTGGTATTATGTTATTACGTGTTCAGTTTATAACTGTGTGTGTGTGTGTGTGTGTACTCACCTAGTTGTGCTTGCGGGAGTTGAGCTCTGGCTCTTTGATCCTGCCTCTCAACCGTCAATCAACAGGTGTACAGGTTCCTGAGCCTATTGGGCTCTATCATATCTACACTTGAAACTGTGTATGGAGTCAGCCTCCACCACATCACTGCCTAATGCATTCCATTTGTCAACCACTCTGACACTAAAAAAGTTCTTTCTAATATCTCTGTGGCTCATTTGGGCGCTCAGTTTCCACCTGTGTCCCCTAGTGCATGTGCCCCTTGTGTTAAATAGCCTGTCTTTGTCAACCCTGTCGATTCCCTTGAGAATCTTGAATGTGGTGAGCATGTTCCCCCCTAACTCTTCTGTCTTCCAACGAAGTGAGGTTTAAATCCCGTAATCTCTCCTCGTAGCTCATACCTCTCAGCTCGGGTACTAGTCTGGTGGCAAACCTTTGAACCTTTTCCAGTTTAGTTTTATGCTTGACTAGATATGGACTCCATGCTGGAGCCGCATACTCCAGAATTGGTCTGACATATGTGGTATATACTGTTCTGAAAGATTCCTTACACAAGTTTCTAAAGGCCGTTCTTATGTTAGCCAACCTGGCATATGCTGCTGATGTTATCCTCTTGATATGAGTTTCAGGGGACAGGTCTGGCGTGATAACAACCCCCAAGTCTTTCTCTCTCTCTGACTCTTGAAGTATTTCATCTCCCAAATGATACCTTGTATCTGGTCTCCTGCTTCCTACCTCTATCTTCATTGCATTACATTTGCTTGGGTTAAACTCTAACAACCATTTGTTCGACCATTCCTGCAGCTTGTCCAGGTCTTCTTGAAGCCTCAAGCTGTCCTCCTCTGTCTTAATCCTTCTCATAATTTTGGCGTCGTCAGCAAACATTGAGAGGAATGAGTCTATACTCTCTGGAAGATCATTTACGTATATCAGAAACAGGATAGGTCCGAGTACAGAGCTCTGTGGGACTCCACTGGTGACTTCACGCCATTCTGAGGTCTCACCCCTCACTGTAACTCTCTGCTTCCTATTGCTTAGGTACTCCCTTATCTACTGGAGCACCCTACCAGTTACTCCTGCCTATTTCTCCAGCTTATGCATCAACCTTTTATGGGGTACTGGGTCAAAGGCTTTCCGACATAGTACACAGTGTGTGTGTGTGTGTGTGTGTGTCTGTGTGTGTGTGTGTGTGTGTGTGTGTGTGTGTGTGTGTGTGTGTGTGTGTGTGTGTGTGTGTGTGTGTGTGTGATTACCAATGGTAATAATAACACTATGAGGGCTGCACTTGTGGTGTCCTGTCTTCCCAGTTATATATGTGTCATGTGTCACTTTCAAATTACTACGGATTGGCAAAACCACCGCCTTATTACTTACATTGTTCCAACCTTCAACAACTCTTGTACCACTACTACCACCACCACCAGTACCACTACTTCTACAACCATCACCACCACCACCAGTACCACTACTACTACTACCATCATCACCACCACCAGTACCACTACTACTACCACCACCAGTACCACCAGTACCACTACTACTACTACCACCACTAGTACCACTACTACCACGACCACCACCACCACCAGTACCACTACTACTACCATCACCACCAACATTACCACCACCACCACCAGTACCACCACCATCACCACCACCAGTACCACTACTACTACCATCACCACCGCCACCAGTACCACTACTACCACCATCACCACCGCCACCACTACCACTACTACTACTACCACCACCACCAGTACCACTACAACCACCACCATCATCACCAGAACCACTACCACCACCACCACCACCTGTACCATTACCAGTACCACTGCTACCACCACCACCACCAGTACCACTACCACCACCACTATCACTACTACCACTACTAGCACCACCACTAGTACCACTACTAGCACCACTACTAGTACCTCTACTTCCACCACCACTAGTACCACTACTACCACCACTAGTACCACCACCACCAGTATCACTACTACCACCACCACCACCACCACCAGTATCACTACCACCACCACCACCACCACCACCAGTATCACTACCACCACCACCACCACCACCACAAAATGCTACATCCTGAACCATTACTCCAGCAGTCACTAAATCTGTTACCACCACCAACCACAACACTCCCACCATCAACCACAACACTCCCACCACCAACCACAACACTCCCACCACCAACCACAACACTCCCACCACCAACCTTTGTGGTAGGCCTATGAGTGAAAGATATTTAACCTCTTTCATCCTATTAATGGACAACAGAATCGCTGCCCTCTGCCCCTTTAGCTGACATAGCCTCATGACTGATGGCCTGATCAGCCAAACTGTTTGTGTCGGCAGCGCCCCGCTGACGTAAGCAACGTGACCGGTTGTTCAGGCATTCCCGTTAGGAAGGTAGTTTCCTCTGTACAAGGGGACTGTTGGCAGTTCGCAAACGTTCAGCGCAGTTATTCCACATTATTCCATTTATACATTAAGTTGCTAACTATGTGTGTTATAAACGATAATAATTGTTAATGACCACCTCAAAATTATTAACGCGGTATGATAAACTGTAATACATGCATGCAAAAAGTGGTGACATTAGAGTAGCGGTACAGAGGGGGGAGGTATATAAGCATGTGGAGGGCAGGAGAGAGCTGGACATGAGTGGCTAGGTAATAGAGGGTCAGTGTGGGGTGTGAGTGAGTTGAGGCAAGCCAGCCCGCACACCATCCACTTTAACTCTCCAATACACGCCTCCATCTTTCCACATGCTCTCCCTCTCTCCCCTCCACTCTGCTTCCCTCCCTCTCGGCCCTCCACTCTACTTCCCTCCCTCTCTTGTCCTCTTGCTTGCTGGCTTCTCCCATCTTTGGCATTTGAGATTATATCTCCTTTTTGTCAAGTCTCATTCTGCAATTTGAAACCCTAATCTGGGCCTGTAGTATGTGTGTGTGTATATGTACATTATATATATATATATATATATATATATATATATATATATATATATATATATATATATATAAATATATATATATATATATATATATATATATATATATATATATATATATATATATATATATATATATATACATACCAGCGATACAAAGATGCGAGAAACAACTATACGACAGTAAGGAGAGAGGCAGAAAGAAATTTTGAAAAATGGATAGCGGATAAATGTAAAACAGAACCGGGCCTATTCTACAAATTCATAAACAACAAATTGCAGGTGAAGGATAATATCCAGAGGTTGAAAATGGGAAACAGATTCACAGAAAATGAAAAGGAAATGTGTGAAACATTAAATGAAAAGTTCCAAAGTGTGTTTGTACAAAATGAAATCTTCAGAGAACCAGACAATAAGAATTCCAGAGAACAACATAGAGCGGATAGAGGTGTCTAGAGATGAAGTGGAAAATATGCTAAAGGAGCTCAGTAAGAACAAAGCAACTGGCCCAGATGGAGTTTCACCATGGGTTCTGAGTGAATGTGCATCAGAGCTCACCATTCCACTTCACCTGATCTTTCAGGCATCCCTGTGTACAGGAATCGTAGCAGATGTGTGGAAACAGGCTAACATAGTTCCAATCTACAAAAGTGGCAGCAGGGAAGACCTCCTCAATTATAGATCTGTATCATTGACAAGTGTAATAGTGAAAGTATTGGAAGAACTAATCAAAACTAAATGGGTAGAACACCTGGAGAGAAATGATATAATATCAGACAGACAGTATGATTTTCGATCTGGAAGATCCTGTGTATCGAATTTACTCAGTTTCTACGATCGAGCCACAGAGATATTACAGGAAAGAGATGGTTGGGTTGACTGCATCTATCTGAACCTAAAAAAGGTTTTCGACAGAGTTCCACATAAGAGGTTGTTCTGGAAACTGGAAAATATTGGAGGGGTGACAGGTAAGCTTTTAACATGGATGAAAAATTTTCTGACTGATTGAAAATTAGGGCAGTAATCAGAGGCAATGTATCAGACTGGAGAAATGTCACAAATGGAGTACCACAGGGCTCAGTTCTTGCACCAGTGATGTTTATTGTCTACATAAATGATCTACCAGTTGGTATACAGAATTATATGAACATGTTTGCTGATGATGCTAAGATAATAGGAAGGATAAGAAACTTAGATGATTGTCATGCCCTTCAAGATGACCTGGACAAAATAAGTATATGGAGCACCACTTGACAAATGGAATTTAATGTTAATAAATGCCATGTTATGGTATGTGGAATAGGAGAACAGAGACCCCACACAACCTATATATATTATGTGAGAAATCTTTAAAGAATTCTGATAGAGAAGGAGATCTAGGGGTGGTTCTAGATAGAAAACTATCACCTGAGGACCACATAAAGAATATTGTGTGAGGAGCCTATGCCACGCTTTCTAACTTCAGAGTTGCTTTTAAATACATGGATGGCGATATACTAAAGAAATTGTTCACAACTTTTGTTAGGCCAAAGCTAGAATATGCAGCAGTTGTGTGGTGCCCATATCTTAAGAAGCACATCAACAAACTGGAAAAGGTGCAAAGACATGCTACTAAGTGGCTACCAGAACTGAAGGGCAAGAGCTACGAGGAGAGGTTAGAGGCATTAAATATACCAAAACTAGAAGACAGAAGAAAAAGAGGTGATATGATCACTACATACAAAATAGTAACAGGAATTGATAAAATCGATAGGGAAGATTTCCTGAGACCTGGAACTTCAAGAACAAGAGGTCATAGATTTAAACTAGCTAAACACAGATGCCGAAGAAATATAAGAAAATTCACTTTCGCAAACAGAGTGGTAGACGGTTGGAACAAGTTAGGTGAGAAGGTGGTGGAGGCCAAGACCGTCAGTACTTTCAAAGCGTTATATGACAAAGAGTGCTGCGAAGACGGGACACCACGAGCGTAGCTCTCATCCTGTAACTACACTTAGGTAATTACACGAGTTGTTGCATTTTTGTACAGCCACTAGCAAGCATAGCTTTTCAGGTCCTTAATCCTATGTTTTCCCAGAATATGACCCTGCCAAACGATTTAACAAGCAGGTACCCATTTTATTGTTGGGTTAAACAGAAGCTACAGTTAAGCTACAATTTGCGCTGAGCAAATCCTCCCCGGCCAGGGTACGATCCCAGGGCAAAGTGCTCACAAATCGCCAGGCAATCAGCTTACCACTCTGCCAAGGGGACATTCTTGAGAAAGGCACTTCCAGCATGAGACTATTGAAGTTTGAGACCCCAAGTGCTATGGGTGCCAACTACTGGTTGTCCATGGAGTTGGGCCAGGTGCGGAACTTTGAGAATGCTTGCCTTGTATGTACATAACAGTAAGTCCACCAATGTCATGACGATGTTGCAAGCTCTGATTTTCAGACCATTCCCACCAGACTTGGTTAAGACTAGAGATGAGCCCTCTTGCACAGCTCTCCACTTTATCCAAATGTCTGATGAATGAAAGGGGCAGGCAATCCAGGAGAGGGGTGCATACTGTAGATGAGAGCAAACTGCTTCCTTTAAGGTTTTGCAATCTTTGCTGTCAAGAAGGTGTGAGATGCGCCATAGGGCTGTAAGTTTCCTGGCTGATTTTGAGCTAAGTTGTCATTCATATTGTCATTGAAGTGTCAAACTTCATTCCGAAAATGAAATTTGCAATGTGTAGTCTAGTTATCATTGTTACTAGTCTAGTTATCATTGTTATTTCTCAGCTACAAATGTGACCTGCCATCTCCTACCTCAGGTAGAAATCGCTGAAAGTGATTAATGAGTCTTGTAGTAGTTGGCATTTCTTCCTTTCTCTTTTTTTTTTTTTTTTAACAAACTATGGTTCATTATTTTCTCTTTTGCACACTCTCCTCTCTTCTTCCTGTCTTTCTCCTTATAAATTTATGAAATGCAAAATTTTAATTAATTGTGTGGTTGTTCGTGAGTGTATGCCAGTTCTCAGGTTGGTGTTGAGAATCTGGACTATAATTTCATATGGATATTTTTATACAATAAATATTTTTTAAATATTTATATTTAAAGTTTACCTAAGGTAAAGTTTACCTAATGTAAATAAAGTTTACCTTAGAGTTTCTCACTATTTAAAGTTCATTTAAAATGTCTAAAGTAACACATGCACATTCTTTTAACAGGGAACAGATGACCTTTATGCCATTAAGATATTGAAAAAAGACATCATCATTCAAGACGATGATGTAGAGTGCACTATGATAGAGAAAAGAGTCCTTGCCTTGGCCAGCAAGCCACCCTTCCTCGTTCAGCTCCACTCATGCTTCCAGACTATGGTAGGTGTTGTTAGTAGCATCACTTTTGTTACCATACTGTAGGTCTTGTTGGTAGCTGCACATCTGCTTCCAGATTATTGGCTGGAATGCTGATAAGTACACTAAGGCAATGTTGACAGCTACAATTTTGCTTCCTAATTATATTTGGTCATAAGAACATAAGAATGAAGGTATCTGCAAAAGGCCTATTGGCCCATATGAGGCAGCTCACATTTATACCCACCCAGTCTCATTCATATATATGTCTATCCTATACTTGAAACAATCAAGTGATCCTACTTCTATTATGTTATGTGGTAATTGGTTCCACAAATCAACAACACTGTTACCAAACCAGTATTTCCCAGGTCTTTCCTCAATCTAAACTTATCCAATTTATACGCATTGTTTCAAATTCAAAATTCAAATTCAAATGTTTATTCAGGTAAAGTACATACATACAAGGGGTGATACAAATATTGCTGAATTTATAGATAGAGCTAGTACATACAATGCTACTACGTTTCGTGTTCTATTTTGTGTTGATACTTTTAATACCCTATTAATATCCCCTTTGTTATGCCTATTCATCCACTTGTACACCTCTATCATGTCACTCCAAATTCTTCGCCTTCTAGATAATGTAATTTAAGCTTTGTCAATCTTTCTTCATATGACAGGTTTCTAATTTACGGGATTAACTTTGTCATCCTACACTGGACGTGTTCTAGTGAATTTATATCCTTTCTATAGTATGGCGACCAAAATTGAACTGCATAATTTAATTCGGGCGTAACCAGAGCAAGATATAGGTGAAGAACAACACCAGGTGTCTTATTACTAGTGTTTCAATAAATAAATTCCAATGTCCTATTTGCCTTTTTTTGAACATTTATGCATTGATTTTTTGGTTTTAAATTCTAATTAATCATAACTCCCAGATCCCTTTCGCAGTCCGACTTTGCAATCTCAACACCATCTAGCTTGTATCTTGTAACTCTATCATCATTACCAAGCCACAAATCCTAAATTTAGTCAGCTTTAAACTGCATTTGCCAATCTTTTGACCATTTCAAAACCCTATTTAGACCATATTTTGACCATTTCATAACCCTATTTAGATCATCCTTTGACCATTTCATAACCCCCTATTTTAAACCATCTTTTGACCATTTCATAACCCTATTTAGATCGTCTTGTCAGCTTCACTGAGACTTATTGACTGTTAAATGTTTATTGCTTATGTTAGCAATATTGTTAGTATTGCTTGTAGATATTGTTAAGTATGTTGCCCTCAAGTAAATCAGGTATTAATCAGGTGTAAATCAGGTTCCAGTATACTTAGGCTTGATAGCTCCGTCTTCAGCTTTCCCTTGGGCCTTCAGCTTTGGTTGCAGTTAATCTCAAGGCACGGTCTTGGTCAGTTGCACTCAGACAATGCACTGGTAGTCTATTGCTTAAGCCCGGGAGATTCAATTCAGCTACTTCCTTTGTGGTGAAGTATTCTGGCCATATCCTCTTTTCTGGAATCTCTGGGTTTAGTACCCCAGGTACTAAAGGTACCAGGTACCAGGTACTAAAACAGGTACTAAACAGGTACTAACAGGTACCAGGCACTAAAAACCCATATCCAAGGTTGTATCAAATGTCTTGACTAGAGCAGGTGGGCCTTTATGGTTATGCAGGTATACGTACTCTGTGCTGTACAGTAAATATCTGCTTTGTAAGGAGGTGTGAGTACTCTTAGTTGATTTTTATGCTTTGCCAGGAGGTGTGATAACTTGGTTGATTTATGGACTGCATTATTGTAAGTTTACAGTGTTTTAACCCTTGCACTGCTCACCTATTTTCGGCAAAAACGTCTTGGTGCAATTGTCAAGGACATATTTTTGTTATTTTTACAAATGTTCAGGTAAATTTAATGTCAAAATGTTTCCAAAGTCAACTATTTCCATTTCAAAACACAAATAGTAATGAAAACATTAAAAAACATTAAAATATAGCCAAATTAAAAAACAAAGAGCACAACTCTCTGAGCGCCTAAAGGCGCTTTGCGCAGTGCAGTGGTTAAGTTGATTTAATTCAGTTAAAGTTTTTTTTCAGTTTGGGTAAGTTTTATTTATTTAAAATAATACACATGGTTTTGTCTACAATTATCTTTAACATCACAGTATGTATATAATCCAGAATGAATGTCTTGACAGCACTGAAAGTGAATTAGTGAGTGTTCATGGGATAATAGAAGAGGCAAACAAGAGAGAGAGAGAGAGGAGACATTTACATTTGTTATAAAATTTTACAATTTTGTTTGTACAGTACAGTAATGTAAAATATTCCAGTTTAGGAGATCAGAAATACATTCTTAATCATCCTCATGTAATTAATTCCTCTCCAGTTTCTAATACTATATATTTATAATAATTTAACTGATATTAATAATTCAATGGGTAATCTATGAGTAAAAATTAATAAGTTCCAGAAGTAATCACTGTGATATGATGATTTTATATTGTGTGTTTTGCAGGACCGATTATACTTTGTGATGGAGTATGTGAATGGTGGCGATCTCATGTTCCAGATCCAACAGTGTGGCAAGTTCAAGGAACCTGTTGCTGTGTATGTACCTATTACATATTGCCTCACTTTCCTCATAGGCTTGTAATTCACGTTGATCATAAATACTGTATGTAAAATGTATGAAAGTATCTCTTTCCATGCTAAAGCATTTACTTGCAAGCTTCTTATAATCTCTGTATATTTGTCATTTGCAGTGCCAGATTAGTTTACATACATATTAATTTCCTTTTTTCAGCTGAATTTGCATATATATATCTTATGGAAATCTATGTGGCTTACTATCTAGGTTTATACCATATTTTAATTTGTCTTATTCTATTAGATTATAGATTATAGTCATAATCTTATTTTGGATTTGAATTTTATTTTCTTGCCTCAAATTTAAAACCTATCTTTGGATCTGTCTTGAGGTCATCCTGAGATGATTTCGGGGGCTTAGCGTCCCTGCGGCCCGGTTCTCGACCAGGCCTCCTTTTTGTTACACACTCCCAGGAAGCAGCCCGTAGCAGCTGTCTATCTCCCAGGTACCTATTTACTGCTAGGTAACAGGGACATCAGGGTGAAAGAAACATTTTGCCCACTTGTTTAGCATCTATGTCAGGTGCTAAATCTGGAATAAATGGGATTAGATTCCCACTCAATAGGTCATGTTCAAATATAAAGTGAGCTTAGTATCAAGAGGAAAGAAAATCATTCATTGCCCTTGAAAAGCTTCTTGCTGATCTTGACACTGTTTCTTCCTAAGCCCGAAGGTTAGTTGAGATCCTAATGGGTGCATAGGTCAAGATATGAAGCCAGGACAGCACTTTGCATCTGTACAGCAAGGTCTATTTGAATATCCTTTTGTGGTGTCAAACTGGTGTAAAGGTTTCTTTGTGGTTGTTCAATGCAGTGCATGGTGTCAAGCAGAAAGGCACTCTCATAGCACTCAAAACCCCTTTAAATCATGTTTGAAAACAGTCAAAACTATCAAGTAGCACTCTGTAAGAGAGTCCCAGTATCTGCAGTAAACTAGTGATTGCCTTGAGCAAAGTACAATATTGTCTAACCGTGCTTTTCTAATACTGTAGTGACTATGGGTGAGTGAGATCTAGCTCTGTGCCCTGCCTACTAGCTTTGTTGTACCTGGGTTTTACTTTTTTACTTTTACTGACATTCAAATTCATGTCATTTCTGGCTTTAAAGTTGTGGATGGAGTGGCTTCCATGATTTATTTCAGTGCATTTCACTTCTGTATCACCTGTACAGGATACTGTACAAGTATTTTCTTACATTATTTTAACTCATTTGAGTTTCCAGTTTGTCTCCATGTCTTCTTCCTTTATTTTCTTTCACTTTAAAAGGCTGTTCCTGTCCACCTTGCTTTTTATCCCAATATCTGCTATTTATGAGTCCATCTTAACAGCCATTGTAGGCCCCTGGGCAAAGCAATGCTTTGGGCCTGGGGCCCCCTACCCAGATGATGGGCCACACCCATCTGCTAAAGTACAGGATTACAGTCAGATAGTTATGCACAAATTATTTATATTTTAAATACAATTGAAAAGGGATTTGAATCACAGGCCTTTACAGTAAGATCAAGTAATTATCCACTCTGCCAAGAGATCTCTTATGAACAATATGGCAGCACTGGGCAGCAGTGGAGCCCCCTAGAATCATGGGGTCCCTGGGCAACTACCTACTATGCCCATGTGTTAAGATGGCACTGCATATGTAATGATCACATCACTCCTGTTAGAGGTGCGAGACTGAGTTTCTTAACCTATTCTCATAGCTTTTGAGGATGCAGCTCGCAATTTTCAACTAAACACTGGTCTGTTTTGATTCGCCTACCTTTCTGGGCACCTTTCCCAGTTGATGGCAAGTATGACATACTTTAAATGTAAAGTGCTCATAGGCCATTGAGCCTCCTTGGGGCTCTCTGAGGGGGGCCAGGTTCTGGCGCTGGTCCCTGGTAGGTAACAAGAACTCTGTGACTGATGACCCCAAATAGGATAGCACTATACAGTATCAGTGGGATAGCTTCAGGGAACCTCCAGGGCTCACCCAGAAACTAGCATTTCATTACATTCAATGTTGGGTTTTTAATTATATGTACTGTGCTGAATATGCAAAAATATGTTGTCTTTATTTTTTTTTTAGATTTTTGTTTCCTTGATGCATTGTATCGAATATTAAGGAAGTGGTTCTGCTGGCAGGTTTTATGCAGCAGAGATTGCTATTGGACTGTTCTATCTGCACTCCCGTAGTATTGTGTATCGTGACCTGAAATTAGACAATGTACTCTTGGATCAAGATGGACACATTAAGATTGCTGATTTTGGCATGTGCAAAGAAGGTATTACAGGAGAAAAAACTACAAAGACTTTCTGTGGAACTCCAGATTACATTGCTCCAGAGGTTAGTATCTCAGAGGTTCATTTTGAGGTTTATCATAGGTATCAACTTGAAGTATACATTACTTTTGAATCTCTTTTAGAAGTTGTACATGCAATGATAAACATTACTTTCAATAGACATACATTCTGAGGTTGTATAGATTATTGAAACTTAATTTAAGTAGAAATTTGTTTAACTAAACTCATTACTCTATAAAATATTTAAAAGCCTTATGTGATCAAGGTTCTGATGTGGTTTGCAGATTATTTTGTATCAGCCATATGGGAAGAGCGTAGATTGGTGGGCGTATGGTGTCCTGCTCTACGAGATGTTGGTCGGCCAGCCACCATTTGATGGAGAAGATGAGGAGGAGCTTTTTGCTGCCATTACTGACCATAATGTTTCATACCCAAAGTCACTGTCCAAAGAAGCTAAGGAATGCTGCAAAGGTGTAAGTTTACATCAGAATACTGTACACTTGATACTAAATTTATATTCTGTACAATAAATACATTATAGATATGATATTTTTATGTACTTGTGTTTGCCTTAGTGTGTTTCCATTGCAAATGAATATAAAATACAGGAATTGTTTAAGTGTTTCATATGACTTAAACCCATAGCATGTACTGTACATACCTTATTATAATTACAAGAGGAATATTATGCCCAGGGACCATTTTCATTATTAATTTGGTCAAATTTAGACTTAAAACTAGTATTAGTTTTGACACAACTTAATTTAAAAAGTTGTTCCATCCCCAAACCACTCTGTTACTGAACAAATATGTTATGATATTCTTTCTACATTGGTATTTCTTGATCTGATATGCAGAGAACATGATACTTTTGAAATTTACTGTATTTAAAAACTTCCTTGTACTAAATTATAATTACTGTTCAAAATGGGTAATAATAATAATAATTAATACCTATTCTCAAAAAGGCATTGAACAGAAAACTCAGCATTACTGTTAATATTATTTTAAATTTATCAAAATTGACCTTAATTTTATGGAAGTATTTATATCTAAGTAGGCACTAAGAAGTAAGGGCATGTGGTGGTCACTAGAAACAAAAGGCCATTTCTCTCTCAGTTCTTGACCAAGCTGCCCCAGAAACGACTAGGGTGTGGCTACAAGGGTGAAGAGGATGTTCGAACACATCCATTCTTCAGAAGACTCGACTGGGAAAAGATAGAGAACCGAGAAGTTCAGCCGCCCTTCAAGCCTAAAATTGTGAGTGCCTATTTTCTGAGATGTTTTGTTTACATTGCCTACTTGGACTTCAGTTTGAAACCTTGATATATGGTGTTGGTATTGCATGGATACTGATGAACACCTTTGATGAGTGTTGATTAGTGCTTTTGTAAGCTGAACACCTTTCAAGCACTTCTATGAAGGATTTACTTGTTCCTACCTTTAAGTATCACAGTGCAAGTTGCAAAACACAATTTTAAAAGTATATCAAATATAGGAATACTTACAGTACTCACTCGAATAATTAAAATAATTAGTATGTTTTTTCTGGAGGGAGCCCCTTGTGGCTCCCTGAAGCTCCTATACTGATATAGTGTCAGACAGACAAGGTGCCATCAGTTTCCTAGTTCTTATTGGTCTACCGGGGACCACGAGCCAGGACCTGCCCCCCCCCCTTCCCTCAGAGAGGTGCAGGGAGCAGTGGCTCTATGAAAAACTTTATGCAAATTTATTCATATCAGCCGCCATCAAGGGAAGGCACCAAGAAAGTCACAGAAAAAAAGACCACTGCTTGGTTAGAAAACCAGACTGCAGTCCCAAAAGAATCAAAAGAACTCCCCCAACAATGTAAACAAATGGGTGAAAATTCATGAAACTAGTGAAAGCTAATTTGCCCCTCCTCTCCCCCCTTCATTTGTGGGGGAGGAGGGAGGAAGACTGGGTCAGTCAGCTGCTCCACCACCAGTTCTTGTACTGATGTGTTCATGCCTGGTTGCCTGCTCAGTTCACTCTGGCTCCAGTCTCCTGTTGTCAATTAAGTGGTGTTTTGCCTTTAGGGCCTTTCCTGTGCCCATTTGTGCAGTGTGAGCCAGGACTTTAGCATGCATGGAGCTGCATGTACTGAGGGTTTACCTCCCTGTGCACTTCTTGAGTATTGTATTTGCACGGTCAGGGTTCCCTGGATGGGGCGTGGCCAGTTCCAGCATTTGCCCCTTCCAACTTGGGTGTGGAGAGTGTGGATAGTTGAGCCTTCTCAAGTAACCAAGTTGAGAAGGCTCAACTTGGATAGTTGAGCCTTCTGGTACTGCTGAGGTTTCTGGCTGGCCCCCCCTCTTCTGAGGCCTCTCCCTTAGACTCTACTTTTCTATACTGGATTGTGAGCATGGACGATTGCTCTGCTCCAGGGCCCTCTTCTGCAGTTCCCGGGTCTTGGGAGTTGGGCCCCTTGGGCTAGTCGGAGTTGGGCCCCTTGTGTCTCGTTTGACCTTTCATGGGCATTGGTGTCTTCTGCAGAGGATCTTTTGTGTCAGGGGAGGGGTTTTCCTATCCCCTCTCCCTGTATAAGTTCGATTTGGGTGTGGCTTTCCCCAAGGTTCATTTCCTTGGTGGTGTCTGATATGAATAAATTTACATAAAATTTTTCATAGAGCCGCTGCTCCATGCACCTCTCTGAGGGAGCTTGTGGTCCCCAGTAGGCCAATAAGAGCTCCATGACTAATAGCACCTTGTAGTCTGCAACTACTGTATATCAGCTAGTAGCTTCAGGAAGCCACCGGGGCTCACCCAGAAATTGGCTATCATTACAGTTCATCGCTGGCTTTATGCACTCTAGAATTTCACCATCCAGCATTATTTTATTTTAATATTATACTCTTCCTAAAATATAAAAATTTTAAACCCTGAGAGATAAAAAATTATTGTAAATTCTTCATCTGTCATATGTTAAAGAAGTCCAAGTTAGTTAAAAATATAATCTGGTGCTCCTAGGATAGAGTGCAGGTGGTAACCAAGAAGAATGCTTTTATGCCATTTTTGACTTGCTGGAAGTATGCATCGTAAAATGTGACTTACTTTAAGCAATTGTAACAAATTGTGACTTAAATGCTCCCCAAGTCAAGATCATTCTGATCTCTGAGTTAGGATCGGACACATTCATGGGTTAACATTTTATGCAGCTGAGAACTAGTCAAACTGTTCTCACCATGTCATACTGGTACTAGGGTGACACTGGAGAATACTTAATCCAGCCTAAACTGTAAACAAACAAGTGTATAACACATACTTAAAAAGACATCCTAAGCAAAATTTGGCATCAAAGAGACTAACTATCAAACAGCCAGTTTGGTTACTACCCTCGAGTGCCACAAAGAGGCAGCACCTACACCACAACAAAGCCCTCCAGCACAAGCTAACCACAACCACAGTCCACCTACATCCTAGGCTAAGAAAACATCTCCAATAAGTACAAGATAGGCTGAGAAGGACGGTCTTGAATGTTTACACTTGATTGTATTGGGTCTTTTACATATTTTAATTACCTATATGGTGGTATATGGCCTCCTACACTGAGAGTTTAGGTGTGGGAGTTTAAGCTCTCCACTGATTTTAGTGTGTAAAATTTCTAGATCTTGCAGCTTGTATGCTGTATGATTGGTATGGATGCTAGGAAGCAGACCTCTTTGTTTCATGTTTGAATACTTCTTTGTGGCAACAGGTGGCTTGGCAGGCCTTCCACTTCTTCCTCTCTCTTCAGCATCTGCCCCTCTGTGTCAGTGGCTATGGTATTGTTTTTCTGCCCTTGCATTTTTTGGATCCTCAGCTGATACCTGGTACTGTCACCTCATATCATTTTGCCATGGCAGAACCTCTTTCATTATCTTTTTGAAATGGTTTTCATCTCACCTCACCCCTCCTTTTTCAGTTGTTTTTTACTTTTCTGACCAGTTCCCACTACTCTGAAACCATCATGGTCTTTGGATCACGTGTTGGAGATCTTGTCCAACCTTTGCTTGCAGATTTCTCTCTCTGTTGGAGTTCGTCTTTATGGCAACTTTTCTTTTGATACCACTGTAGGATTGGGGAGCTTTGCTGAGGGCATGTAATTTGCTCTTTTGGTGTCGGGGGTCATTTTCTTCACTTACAGCCTTTTCTTTTTTCTTGGCTAAGAATGAGACTTTGGTCATTCCTTTGGTCATTGACATTTGGTTTGTTCGGCTGGAGGTGTGACTTTTTTGTTTACTACTTATTCTGAGGTTGTGGGTACATTGTTGGTTACCCAATTCTAAAGTTCCTTGTTTCCAAGTCCATGTATCACAGGTGGTTCACTTTAGCTAGCCAATTGTGCATCCTCACATTTGTGATGTGGGCAAGTTTACTGCCTGGATGGCTTTTTTGCTACTGTTACCATGGTTAATGTCCACAGCCAGGGCTGCTGAGAGTTCAACATAGTGTTAGTTTTGCATTCCTTGTTGGACTTCCCTTGGTCTCACTGTCCCTACGTTGCACTTAGGCATTTTGAGGACACCTAATATCTTCTGCTCCAAGTCCTCATCTTCAACCATTCTTTTTCAACAGGTAATCCCAGTTTTCCAAAAATATAACATTAAATGCCCTTTTCTGGTGGGCCCCCAATAGTTTCCCATCCCTGCCTTGTTCCTGTCTCTTCCATGAGGTTAGAGTATAGGTAGCTTCCAGGTGAGGGAATGAGCTGGCTGGGAACCTGAATGACCCGGGCTACCATCTCATGGCAGTTGAGCACATCAAAGTTGAGGTTGTTTACTTCCAGGTAATGATCATTTACCTTGGTTATTTGGGGTCTCTATTTTCCTTCAACCAGTCACTTATTTTCTTGCACCCACACCTTCTGGTTATTGTAAGATATTATTTCCAGGCTTCACTTACCTCATTGAGTGAGTCAATAGGCAACAGATGGGTCTTTAAGGTTTGGAGTGTGAAGTTAAGTCTTGCTAGTACATGTGTACTGTGTAAGCTCGGGTATCTACTGGAAGCTCACCAGAAAAGAGTATTTCACTGCATTCAATGCTTAATTTTTTGTCAGTCATGTAATCAAGTACAGTTCATTACTACAACTCTTGAAATCCTATACTGTATTCAGTATAATGTACATTATTCCCAGCATTTCTAGATTACTTGTTTTGAAAGAAAAATTCTTCCAGTGTTAGTAAGGGAAAAGTTATCTTACAAAGTTATAGAAGCTGTATTGAAATTATCACAGTGTTCTTCTTGAGTTACTGCCTGTTTTTATGTATAATGTTGTTAGGTAAAGTAGCCAGCTGAATGAACTGCAAAGTAATAAAGTAGAAATAATGTAGAACCACTGCTAGTATTGTAGTTGAGACTGCTAGTAAAGCCATGTTAATTATTGCAAGTAGTGTGGCATATTTTGCATCATGTCAAAAGTATTTTCTCTGCACTAAGGAGGAAAACTTTACCTAAATGCTTTCATGTTTGTGAAATAATTACTCATGAATAAATAATTCCAAGGAGGACAGGATATTCTACAAACTTAAGTATCTTGTCTCCAAATTTTCTTCTGTTACCAATCTTATATTTCATATTCATTGCTTTCTCCTGTCACCTAATCTGTCAACTTGACTCATGTACCATCTTCCCTCTCCAGCCCCCACACTTGCTGCTTATGTTAACACATTCTCTGTTTGTCCTTGGTCTCTTATTTCTCGGGTGATGGCCATTGTCTTAGAAGATTACTCTACTCTCTACAAATTCAAATATTACATCCATCTGTGTGACAATATATTGCTTTTCTATTCTTGTAACTATCTAGAAGCTTGATTATGTATATACTGTACATTATTTTCTGGATTCACTTTTAGATGCATCTAATACAGGATTTTGTAGAGAATGGTTATTATTCTCAATACTTTTGCTTTATGCTTTCTTGTAAAAATCACTTATTACTCTATGATATGTCAGTTGAACGAATGTCTGGGACCTCTGGTACAGCTGTCTTTTTTTTTGTTTGTTTGCACAATATCAATATTGGTTACAGTTTCATTGAAAAACCTCTGCACAGCCTCTGTGTGTATCAACATATCTGAGTTACTGTACTGTATAATAATTATAGAACAATGTAAAAAATATATAATGGTGAATTACTCTGCAAATCTTTGTGCATGTTCTAAGATTTAATCGGAGCATGATGGCATGATTTCTTCGATGCATGTAGATTTTTAGAAATCATTGCTACTGAGGCAGTTTTACTCACAAGAAACTGTTGA